ATTCTCACCCCCATTTTTTTCAAACCAAACAGATTTAGCGTTTTATCTCCTTCGTTTTTTTCCGTCTCTAGCATATTTTTTCCTTCCTTTAATATCAGATCTCAGCAGTTTCCCTTCAAACAGCACTGCATGAGCACTGGAACACAACGAGCAAGCAGTGCACTCAGGACGCGAGATGCTCTTCGTAACAACCCTTTTTATGTGGCTCTGTTGACCCTCAGGAAGAAAAAAAATAAATCTCCTTCAAAAATTAGTACAAACATCTTGTGGATTTGAATTGCTGGATTGTTGTTAATGGTAGTTTTATTTTTTCGATATTGTGAAGTTTTCTTGGGAAAGGAGTATTTCTGAGAGATTTTACTATTTTTTTCTTTCGTCGGTTAAGAGACAAGGTCCATCAACAGGTCGGATTTTAGAACCAGTTCACTCCTGTATTACACACACTCTTTCCTCTCTCTCTCTCTCTTCTCTCTCTCTCTCTCTCTCTCTCTCTCTCTCTCTCTCTCTCTCTCTCTCTCTCTCTCTCTCTCTCTCTCTCTCTCTCTCTCTCTCTCTCTCTCTCTCTCTCCTCTCTCTCGTTCTCTCGTCCTCTCGTCTCTCGTTCTCTCATTCTCTTTCTCTCTCCTTCTCTCTCTTTCTCTCTCCTTCTCTCTCTCTCTCTTCGTCACGCCCTTCCCTCCTGCCCGCCCACGATCTCCCTGCCTGTCTCACGCCCGTTCTGCACTCTCTCACGCCCCCTGTAGGTCTTACAATGTCGGAACATCCTTCGGTCTAACAAGGTCCTCGGGAGTTTTAAGCTGGACGTGGCGACTGTCTGGTCACAGCCAGGTATGTTCTCATTAAGTACAGGTAAGGTGTATGCAGCTGATGTATAAGTCGGTTTTCATTTCCTGTGTTTAGATAATGGTCTGGGTGTTTGTTTCTATTCATTTTGATTATTTAGATTTATTTAGAAGTGTGGATTTGTCTAAATAGGCTTTATGAAGAGGCTAGATGTAGGAGCATTTATTGATAATGCCGAAGGTGGTGTTAAAAGAGACTAAAGTTCATTCATTACCTGAGATAATCAGCCGGTTTGTTAAAATTGTGCCCGGCCCGGCCCAATGAATTTTCATAAATACAGATGCAGAAATAAAGGTACATCTGTCTATTTATCTGATAGATATACATTTAACCATCTATTTGCCGGGTTGATATGCATGTCTAGACTGATAAATATGCATTTATTTCTTTATTTATGCATGTCAAGTATACGAATATTCTTTGGGTCGGGCCTCGCACAATTCTAACATACCGGCCGAATGTTAGGACTAATTGGAGTCGACGCCAAGATGCCCTACAGTTCATGCCAGACGAATGAGTAGGGACGACAGAACAATAAACTTTATCTACCTGTCGTAAGATCCATCCGGCCCTGATACTAAAACCACTTGAAGCTTAGTAGAAGAAGAAGAGAAAAAGAAAAAGATTAAAAAAAAAGAAAAAAAAGAAGAGAAATAGAGAAAAAAGAAAAGGAAGATAAGAAGAACACAAAGAAGATAAGAAAAAGGAAAAAAGAGAAGAGAAGGAAAAAAGGAGGAACGAAGAAGAAGAGTAAAACATGAAAAACATTTAGAATAAAAAAAGGACAAGAAGAAAAGAAGAAGAGGAAGAGAAGAAGGAGGAGAAGAAAACACGAAAAACAATCATAAGAAATAGAACAAATTAAACCCCAAATCAACTTCAGCTGGCCACTTTCATGCCATCCCGCGATCGATTTATCCATTTCAACTTTTCCTCCCCTTTCGCCCGCAAGTGACACCGACGACCTTTGACCCCGACGACCGTGAAGAGTGAAGCGAGCCAGTCGAGTGTTGTGTTTCGGACAGAGTTTCAATATTAATTGCTTCGTCGGTGATGTTACGCTTCGCCTTTGATAACGACGTCGGGTTCTGGGAAATCTCGGTGATTCGGTGATGAGATGAGATGGGGAGGCGGGCAAGGAAAAATGGGGGAAAAATAGGTCAAAGAAATGGGAATGGGAAAAAAGATAGGTCAAAGAGAAATGGGAATGGAAAAAATAGGTCAAAGAGAAATGGGAAAGGGGCCAAACGTTGTGATTCTAGAGAGACCTTATCCGCGTTGTCATTAGTCAGGTGACCTCTCTATTCATTCGTGTTATCCGCGTTGTCATTAGTCAGGTGACCTCTCTATTCATTCGTTTATTAATGATTCATTCGGTCTCTTTTGTGATACAAATGATGCACTATTTATGTCTGTGTAATTATTCAGGTCAACTTGTTTACATATTCTAGTTAATCATCTATTTATCAGTTTGTGATTTATTCATTCTCTTTTGCAATACAAATTATGTAGCATTAACAACTTAACCTGTGCAATTTAGGGTAGATTAGATATTATAGACTGTGTGATAGAGATAAGCTGATTACGAAGCATAATATGTGAAGATGTGCGTATCTGAATGCACGCAAACACACACATAAACAAACACATACACTTG